CTGTGTCTCCCTCACTCTGACCCTCCCCCGTTCACGCTCTGTCTCTGTCTCAAAAATAAATACACGTTAAAAAAAAATTTTTTTTTTAAAAACGTGGGGGGAAATTCACCACTGCTTTCTCGGACTCGAAGAAGGTCCCCTCATCTGCAGCAATTCAGAACCAGAAACCGGTCCTTGGGGGAGGCCCTAAAAACTTCAACAAGGAAATACTCTTGGCTTGAAACAGCAGTTCCTGCACATTTGGGCCACAAAATCCCTCCCTCTGTGTTTTGCAAAAATCGGCGAGGAGTGCAAAGAGCTTTTTGCGTATGTGGCTAATTTAGCCCTCAGTGCATTTTCTCTGTTGGAAGCTGACGTTGACAGATTGAAAAAATATTTTGTTAATTCATTTGAAGAATAATGACATTAAGCCCACGATGGTAACCTGATAATATACTTGTCTCTAACATAATTGTATTTTCCAAAACAAAATAACTTAGAGAGGAGGTGACATTGTTTCACTTTTGTTTTTTCCTCCCCAAAGTTAATGTCTGACTTGGAACGTGACCAGGTTTTCTTTCCTGCTCTGCATTCAATCTGTCGTGATGTCACGTATCATAGAGCCTCTGGGGAACTCCTTTGTGCGCCCGGAAAAATCTGAGCGGAAAAGGCAAACAGCATCTTAGCCCTATTCTTAAGACAGGTTTGACCCTGAGGATCCCCTACAAAGGTCAGGGTCCCCGGACCATACTTTGAGAACCGTCGGCATAAAACACACACTTCCTACATCAGGTGGACGGCGGGCGGGTCCGCTGCCTTCCCTGGGTCCGTGCTAAAGTTTACGTAACCAAAGTAAGACGTTCTTTGGCAAACGTGAGGTCAAACGAATCAGCTACCACCGTGTCCTTCAAACACACACAGTGAGGAACAACATCACTGACGTGGTCAAGACAATAATATGTGCAGAGTTTAGCTCAACACCTGGCACCTGGCGAGAGCTTGTGGTATTTTTAGCACACGGCAACGATCACAACGGTATATGCTGTGTGCAGTGTTCAGTTACATCCCTGAAGTAGGTACTGGTTATTTGTCCCAGTTCGCGGGAGGAAACCAGGGCACAGGGAGGTTAAGCAACTTGCCCAAGATCCCACAGCTTCAAGAGACAGAGCTGAAACTCAGCCTGCCCCGCCCACCTGGGTCTGCTCTGAACATCTTCAATCCACACCCCTCTCCAAGAAGATTTAGAAATAGGGGGGCTGGGGACATTATGTTTGCTCAGTGAGGTATCTTGTTCCCGTGAGAGGTGTGGGAGTCTCAAGGTTTCATCAGAAGTATGAAGCACAGAGCACGAGTGCTCCCGTGGAAAGAGCTGGAAAGAAAATTGATATCCTGCAGAGGGCAACTGTACAGAAATGCCTGTGTGTGTCAAGCCAAGTTGGGAAATGTTTCTAATGAATGAAAATAGTTACCAGTTAGGGTGTAAGATTATGACCGGTTTTATTATGTTTTCAAATTGTCTCTGTTATTGCACTGTTAATACAAAAAAAAAAAAATTAAATGTGTTCGCATACTTCACACACAAACCCTTGCCACGGAGAAGGTAATGACACCAATTCTTTCTGGTGCATAGTTGGGAGTTCTCAGATGCCTCCTCAGAGTCTCTACCAAAGTCTCCACTGATTTCCATGCCCCCCCCCCCAATTAAACCTGCTCTTCTCCACTCACTAGCACTGCAGAGAAAGAAAATCTGGCTTATTCCATGGGGCCTGATGACAACCGTCTATCAGAATTGTTTTCTGTTTTTTTATTAAAAAAATTTTTTTTTGTTGTTTATTTATTTTTGAGAGAGACAGAGACAGAATGTGAGTGGGTTGGGGCAGAGACAGAGGGAGACACAGAATCCGAAGCGGGCTCCAGGCTCCGAGCTGTCGGCACAGAGCCCGACGCGGGGCTCGAACTCATGAACCGCGAGATCGTGCCCTGAGCCGACTGAGCCACCCAGGTGCCCCAGTTTTCTGCTGTTTTTCGTTCTGGATGTACAACCTTCCATCTGCAGTCGGACATTAGATATGCTTTTTGAGGGGCGAGCTGGAAAAATACAACGTTTTGATGGGGGGCGCGTCAACTTTTAAGGGAGATCTGCACAATGCGTGACGTTTTGGAAACAAACTGATTTGTAGGCAAAGAGCTTTCTGTGCTGAGGGGGTACAGAGAAACAGAACTCTGCAAAAAAAAAAATCCAACGAATATGAGTCCACTGAGAGGTGGGTAAGTTAATGGCACATTAATTAAGACAAATTAGAAGGGGCAATCAACCACAGGGAAGGTAGTAATGAGAAGAATGTATAGTTCACAGAAATTCGCTGCTGAGGATTTAGCTGCAGACTGGTGTTTCGCAGGCAGTACAGGCCAGAGGTCTGCAGGGTGGCTCACAGCTCAAGAAGGAACTTGAATTTGCCCGGAAACAAATGCTCACTCCCAGTTGACAACTGCACTGTAATTGTCTGTGGAGCGGCTCGTGACTGGCTCATCCCAAACTTCAGGAGCTGATAGTCTCCATTTCCTTTCTTTTTTTCTTTTTTTTAAACGTTTATTTTTGAGACAGAGAGAGACAGAGCATGAGCAGGGGTGGGGCAGAGAGAGAGGGAGACACAGAATCCGAAGCAGGCTCCAGGCTCTGAGCCATCGGCACAGAGCCCGACGTGGGGCTCGAACTCATTGGACCGTGAGATCATGACCTGAGCCGAAGTCAGATGCTCAAATGACTGAGCCACCCAGGTGCCCCCCCATTTCCTTTCTTAAATACATGTTGAAACAACACCAATCGACCCTCCTTTCTTTTTCCCAGCCATCCAGGGACACACTGATGGGTGTGCATTTCCCTTTCTCTCTTTCCCTCTGCCTGACTTTTGGCGGCTTGGGAGGCCGATGTTTGTTGCGGGTGCCTTTGAGTGGAGGCAAGACCAGGCAGAGGAGGACAGGGTCTAGAGGACCGCACAGACAGGGAGCGCCTCCCTCGACTCGGGTAAGGGGGCAGAACGAGCAGGATTTCCTTAGCAGGTACCTGGGGCAGCTGAGCCCGGATGTCTTCGGATCCCATGAATATACTTTCCAGGTGAGACCACGTACGCTGCACGTCGAACCAGGAGGAGATGACGGCGTCGGCCGTGGACAGCCTCTTCTGCCAGCCGGACACTTCCTCCAGGAAGAAGGCAACGTGCTTGGACGTCATCAGGTTCTGCAGCTGGACTTGGTTGTCCTCCAGGAGCTCGAGGAGGTCCTCGTCCGACCGCAGCTGGGGGACGCCGGTCCGCGGGTGGGGCTCGTACCGGAATTCCAGGCCGGCCCAGGTGGCGCACAGCTCCGTCAAGGTCTCCTCCATGCCCATCTCTTTCACGGCCTTGTCCGCGATGCCCCGCACCTCGTCCTCAAAACGGTGCAGCTGGAGCCGCAGGAGGTCTGCCAGGGTGGTGCCCTCGCCCATGGTGAAGCTCACGCCCGTGGCCTGCACCAGCTGCCTCCAGTGCCGCTCCCGGATGGCCGGATTCTGCAGCTCGGCCACCGCCCGCAGGGAGCTCAGAGCGTCCGACACGGTGCTCTCCAGGCCCGCGAACGCGTCCCAGGCCCTGACCTCCTTGTCCAGGTTCCGGATGCACCTCGCGAACCGTTTACACTCCCGGTCCATGGCCTCCACGTTGACCTCCCTCCACGGGGCCGTCTCCCAGGCACGGATGCTGGAGGTGACCATCGCTATCGTGTCCCAGAGCTCCTTCAGCAGGCAGACTTCCTGCCTGCACTGGTTCAGCTGCTTGTAGTTGGGAATGCTGACCTCAAACAAGGCAGCAGACTCCGAGATGGAGGCCAGGGTCAGCTCCATCTGTCGGATCTCCACGTGCCTGGCGTCCAGCTCGCGGTGAGGGGCGACGCTGTCGAACCTACGAAACAAAAACGTGTTCCTTCCGGTGAGGAGGGCGCACGGGGGCTCGTGTCCCGGAATCGCCAGGGTCACGCCAGCTCAAATCTTTAAACGCCTAGTATTCTAGCCACGAACGGTAACTGGCACCGAAGCCCGGGAAGAAAAAGGCACTCGGGGTGGGTTGTGGGGGGGGGGGGGGTGGGGGTGAGCGCGCACAGCTGGAGAAAAGACAGTTCAAGGTGAACAGGAGGCTTAGATCTTCTCTTCACACCTGAGAAGGGAAAACTAGTCTCCTTTTCTGCTGCTCCCTGGTCCCCCATCCAGGGATGAAGGGGACCATCCCTTTGTTCAAGCTCCCTTTGGACTGTGCTTCTGTGCACTGGCTCCCGGAGCACCTGACACAGAGGAACACGGTCATGTTCCCGTAGGTGCTGGAAAGCCAGAGCTCCCGCCAAGACTATGCATGGTAGGCGGTCTTTAGGTGAGAGGGCTGGCATCTAGAAGTCCAACCCTACACTCCCTCTGGGGCACTGGCTCTCAGTCTGGGTGACATGTTAGAATTTGCTGGAAGTTTTGAATGCTCTCCGTGCCCAGGCTGCTCCCCAGTCCAGTGAAATCAGGCTCTTTAGGGGTGAGACCCAGGCGCAGCTTGCCGGGTGGTTCCAGTGTGCCAGGTTGGCGTCCTTGACTGTGGGGAAGCTCACGTGGGTGGCCTGTGACGCTTCCAGGCAATGGCACTGCCACGTTTGGAAACCACGGATAGAGGACCTTGAAGACTGAGCACAGAGACCTCACCAGGGCCCTGTGCAGTCATCGTGCTGCTCCTTGGCTAGGGGCCTCAAGTCAGACTCCTCTTAAGTCCTCCCTCCAAGTTGTCCTTGATCTCGAGCCTTAGACCACTCTGGCCTGCTCTCTCCTGAATCCCGGATGCCTCTGGTTCTTCACCCGACTTCTATCTCTGCGCTGTGCCCAGCTTTATGGTTTTTCTTCATAGGCCCCCACCCTCTTTTCTCTCTAGTGCTCACGGCAGGCATCCACCGCCCTCTCTGAGCCTCCCCAGTGCTCGCCTGCTTCACGGCCCTACCTTTCCAGAACTGCGTTCCCGGCCTGGCCTCTCTCCTCCAACATCAGCACCCCACACGCAGGGGCGTCTGGCTGGCTCTGTCCGTGGAGCACGCAACTCTTGATCTTGGGGTTGTAAGTTTGAGCCCCATGTTGGGTGTGGAGAGGACTTAAAATCTTGGAAGGAAGGAAGGAAGGAAGGAAGGAAGGAAGGAAGGAAGGAAGGAAGGAAAGGAAGAACAAACGAACGAACCTGACGTGCAAAGGAACCCACGTGGGCAGATAACGTTTCTTTGGTCAGGGGCACATGGAACCCAAGTGTGTAAGGAGCCTCTTCTTTTCCTCCCCATCACCAACTCTGGTTTCTTCTGTGCGCCTGGAGGGCCAATTTGGGGGCACCGCGACTTAAGGGGGAATACCACGTTCCTCTAAAATCAAAATAAGGTATCATGGGCTTCATCATCAAGGGGAAATTTGAGGGTAAACGAGTGATTTGAAGAACCAGTCGTTTCCTCCAGTCTAGCATGTGTGTGCATGCCCACGCCCACGTACGTACGTATGTTCGTGTATGTTAGTTGGGTGGTGGAGCGTGGAGGGGAGGACGGCATACGACGTCTTTTTCTTGAACTGCCTCTCCTCTCAGTTGTCTTTGGAAATATCTGACTTGACGGATGGAAAGTAATCCTAATTAAAGCCATTTACCTGAACTGCTCGCCACTTAAGCCTAATTACCATGCAACACAATAACAGTTATGCATCCCATTAAATCAGTGTCAGATTAACTTTGATGCTTGCTACGTTTGATTCTGCTGGTTCCATCTAAATGGTTTTTGGCTTCTGTGCTACGGTTGTGGACTTGTCTTCAGAGGATGAGGCCGAACATCATGGCGCGTCTTCGCTGGTCTCCGTCCCCCCAGGGTTCTGGAACAGGACTGGAGGTTGAAGTTCTCAGAGCTGAAGGGGGACCTTTGTCTGTCTAGGCAAGGAGCTTCCTCCCCCCCTCCCCCCCCCCAGGAGAGGAGTGGAAAAAGAACCAGAAGAAATGAAATGTAATGTCCTCATGGCAAGTGGTCCGGTAGGAAAGATCAAGTGCACGGCTGGTTTTTTTCTCCTTATTCTTCATTTCCAAAGACTGATTGTTCCAGTGTGTAGGTTCTACTTTTTATCTTGACTGGAGCGACTTGGAAAGCGAATTTAGCTTCTTGCTGTTGGTACAAGATCCTTGCGGGCCAACGTCTAAAAGCCCACATTCTGTTTAATCTACGAATGGCGTATATAATTCAGGAATAACTTACGAGGGAAGTCGTGAGCTCTCAGGGTGTTCGGGGCACACACAGGAGAAAATGAATGGTCTTTCTAACCATTCTTTCCTTAGCCCGTGCGAACACCCTGAAATCAACAGCAGCATCTCAGATGACTGTCAGAGGCGATTACTTGTCAGACCTACTCCTGACGTCGTCTACTGCATGGTGTAATTTTTGTTTATGGTTTAAATTTGTGGACAGTCATTTCCTGCAGCTGAGCACACATAAAAGTTAATTTGGCCTAAGTGGTGAAAAGAATCCCAAGACACGAGGGCAGGTAACCCTCTTCCCATTTCAAAACTCTGGTGCACACCGTCAGGATGTTCACAGCCCTGATTAATGTGCCTAATAAGCTGGAAGCGGTTCTCCGAATCCTAGGGGAGCGATACAGTAGGAGAACAAGAAAGCAATTGGAGGGAACGTGGTGCAGTAAGTCTTTGAAATTGAAACAATAATGCAAAAGTATTTTAATCTAAGGAGAGAAATGCCTGCAATGTCTGGATGAATAAAATTATAATGGAGAGAAATGGAAATTCGGCGCTTGTGCGTACGATCTCAGAAGAATGATCGACTCAGGCCTGACCCAGACGTAGGTGTGTGTGGAGGGAGTGGGAGGAATGAGTGATTTAAATTAATTCTCGGGAGGGGCGCCTGGGTGGCGCAGTCGGTTGAGCGTCCGACTTCAGCCAGGTCACGATCTCGCGGTCTGTGAGTTCGAGCCCCGCGTCGGGCTCTGGGCTGATGGCTCAGAGCCTGGAGCCTGTTTCCGATTCTGTGTCTCCCTCTCTCTCTGCCCCTCCCCCGTTCATGCTCTGTCTCTCTCTGTCCCAAAAATAAATAAAAAACGTTTGAAAAAAAAAATTTAAATTAATTCTCGGGAAGCCAGTGGGTGGTAAATGTTTAACCTCAGAACCACACCTGTGTGTTCAAAAACAAACACACCCCTGCTTGGTACCTGACGGGAATCTTAAGACTCAACTCATCCGAACCGAGCCTGGGGTCTTTCAGTTCTTCCCCATCGGTGGCCCCCACCTGGGTGAGCAGTGAAAGAGTGCCTTGCACTTAGTGGTCCAGGATAGAAGACAGAGAACTGTACCAGTCTCTCCTCCCTGCTCACCTCTCGTACCCAATCAACACACCTATTCCCCTCCCAAATCTCTCTCCAATCTGTCCTCTCTCCATTGTCAGTGCCATCTCATCAGTCCACGGGGACTGCTTCTCTCCTGGGCTGCCACCATCACCCTCCCACCGAGCACTTGGCCCTGAGTGGGTCTCGCTCCACCCCGTTCTCTGCAGCCACAGGCCAGTGGTGTTCACACCACGTTGTCCTCATGCTTAGGCTCCTCAGTGGTTGATCATGGTCAGAATCTGGTTCCGTGAACCGCTCTGTTCTCACCCCCATTTCCAGCATCCCAGCCATGCACACATGGGGCCATCCAACTGTTCCTCACGTTTTCACCCTTTGGTGCCTTTGAGTGTTCTGCTTCCTATGCCTGGAATAACCTCACCTCCAACTTCTTTTCCCAATGGCTAATCCTCCCTTTCCCACTGGCTCAAGCACCATCTCCAACAGGGGGTGTGAACTGCCTCCTTGGGGGAGGTTAAAGTTGGCCACCCAATGGACATGTCTTTCACTTTATTTTTTCTGTTTTTATTTAAAAAAATTTTTAATGTTTTTATTTATTTTTGTTTTTTTTTATTTTTTTTAATAAATTTTTTTTCAATTTTTTTAAATTTATTTTTGGGACAGAGAGAGGCAGAGCATGAACGGGGGAGGGGCAGAGAGAGAGGGAGACACAGAATCGGAAACAGGCTCCAGGCTCCGAGCCATCAGCCCAGAGCCTGACGCGGGGCTCGAACTCACGGACCGCGAGATCGTGACCTGGCTGAAGTCGGACGCCCAACCGACTGCGCCACCCAGGCGCCCTGTGTTTTTATTTATTTTTGAAGGAGAGAGAGAGAGAGAGACAGAGCATGAGTGGGGGAAGAGCAGAGACAGCGGGAGACACAGAATCTGAAGCAGGCTCTGTGCTCTGAGCTGTCAGCACAGAGCCTGACACGGGGCTCGAACTCACAAACCGTGAGATCATGACCTGAGCTGAAGTTGGATGCTTAACTGACTGAACCACCCAGGCACCCCTGTTTTTGTTTTTTTGAGAAAGAGAGAGTGGGGTGAGGGGCAGAGGGAGAGAGAGGGAATCTTAAGCAGGCTCTATGCTTAGCATGGAGACCAACGCAGGGCTCTATCCCACAATGCTGGGACCATGACCTGAGCTGAAATCAAGAGTCGGATGCGGGGTGCCTGGGTGGCTCTGTCAGTTGAGGGCCCAACTTCGGCTCAGGTCGTGATCGCACAGTCTGTGGGTTCGAGCCCTGCGTCGGGCTCTGTGCTGGCAGCTCGGAGCCTGGAGCCTGCTTTGGATTCTGTGTCTCCCTCTTTGCCACTCCCCCACTCATGCTGTCTCAAAAGTAAACATTAAAAACATTAAAAAAAAAGAGTCAGATGCTCAATCAACTGAGCCACCCAGATGCCCCTCCAATGAATGTGTCTAAGCACTCATTTTTGAAATTGTCTCTGAGGTCAGAAAGTATGGGGTTTTTTGTTTTTTTGTTTTTTTTTGGTTTTTTTTTTTTGAGCGTGTATTATCTTAAAATCCCAGCACAATATCCTTTTTTGGTGACCCCATTGTTGAGACCACGACCTCTCCTGCTCTGCGGAAGCCTGAGTCGTGTGAATGAATCCGATGAACTGGAAGAACAGGGTGAGGCTGAACTAATGACTTGTCTCAGGACTGCGACATGTTGTGGGAGATCTAACGATGAGCACTTCTTTTCTCCAGCTACTGAAGAGACAACAGACACTGTGCAAGCAAGACTGAGGACCCTACCTTTCCTCACGCCTGCTGCACTGGGCTATCTGGAAAGCTTTGCTTTCTCTAGTTGTCATGCACGATAGTACCCAAAGGGAGGGTACCTTCAAGAAAGCTCTCTCGATCGTTCACGGAATCCGGCTGCCAGCCGGCTGAAAACACTAATGATCTCCACTGAGCAGCAGCTCACCGAGATCAAGTGCTTTGGCTAAGAAAGCCGT